AAAATATTATAAAAACAAAACAACTCAAACTCCAAGGATATGAAGAACCTACTGAATGAATGTTTGCTCCTGAAGTAAAATCAAGAAAAAAGTGAGCAGGTGGGGCTCAGGACAAGAGTTTTGAAAATATTGCAAGTTGGATTTTTAAATTCTAGAATGTAGTGCGAGAGTCTATACTGCACACAGAGTTGATGCAATGTTCTCATTCCATGACAACACTCTTGAATCTTACCTGTTAGAGATAAGTATTCATTCACTTTAAAAACCTTAGTCTCAGTGTGGATGACACATGACACTATTATGTATAGTATGTTCATTACTGATACTTTTTTTGATTTACATAACTTTTTTTTTTTAATCACCCAAGAAAATCTCAGGTCTCTACACTTCTTTCTTTAAGAATAATGATGCAAGGATATGACCCCAAACACAGATAAAGTTAACATGCCTCTCCAGTGTGTCCCATTATCAGCTGAAGGCTTAGTACTTCCTACTTCACAATCCAAACTTCTGGTTTTCTTTTCTGAGCTCATTGCGTGAGCTAAACTTAAGCTCTTCCTCCATGAAGATATGGAGATGACTGTCAATGGCAGACATTGGCAGTGGGCAAGAAGGAAGGCACATGCTTTCCAACATCCCTTTAGCCCTATCTCAGAGTCACGTCAGGGACCCAGGGATAGTGTAGGATTATTTTGAGAGGCACAACAGAGGACCCCTCGGCAACATAGTTTAACTACCATGAAGGCTCCAAAACTGGAGGCAGTAGGTGCCCTGTAAGGAGCCCATGCCTCATCACACAGCCCAGACTCTGTGCACTGACCTTTCTGGTCCTCAGTTTCCACTTTTGCAACAGAGGATAATAAAGTAACTACTACATAAGGTTACTTTGAGGATTAAAATAAATAATATATGTAGAATTCTTAGCATGGCAGCCAGCATGCATTAAGTCCTTTGTGTTAGTGATTCATTCCAATTCTTATCCAGAAGGCATGGCCAGTAAGGACTAGAAATGTGGCAGATAAATCATATTCAGAGCTGTCTTCCTCCCACACCCACTCTGTGCTCTTGAACTCAGCAATGTCCCAGGCTTGAGGGACTGTCTATGCCATACACATATGAAGTGCATAACCAGAAATTTGCGTAACCCCCCAACGCATAGCTCAGAGATGTACGAGGCAAGAGTTCCAAAAACATAATCAGCTCCTGACTCTCCAAGTCCAAAGTAAAAATAATTCAAAATCATAGGTAACAGAAGAGAATAACTAATCCTCATGCACTTATGTCCATATTAAAAGTAGTTTGCATTTATTCTCCATGTTGAGAACCGGAGAAAACCAGAAGTCAGAGAAAAGTGACTTGGAAATTTGGAGGTGGCCACAGATAAGCCTGTAAGTAGGTGACATAGACAAGAAATATAACAGAACTAAATGTAAACTCTGAAGAATTGTTAGATGTGTATTATGGACCCAGCTGAAGTCACAAAGGGGGTCGGGGAAGGTTTTACTATGGAATAACGTAGAACAGAGGAGCATTTGAAACCTAAGTATTGACTGAATAAAAGGGGAATCTCTGTACTTTGAAAAAGAAGGCTAGACGTAAAGCAGGAGATAATTCAGAGATACGGAGAGCTTCCACTGCTGTCAGCCATGGGCTCTCTTTGGGACACTGTATCTGTGATGGGGTGTCCCCAAGCACATGGAGCCATCCTCCTGGAAGCTCCCTCTCGGAGAGATTTTATTTTATCTTATTTTTTATTTTTAAATTGGGATATAATTGGCATATATCATTATATTAATTTCATGTGTACAACCTAATGAATCGATATTTGTATATATTGAGAACTATTCACCATAATAAGTATAGTTAACATACAAACAGTTACAGATTTCTTTTTTGTTCTTGTGATGAGAACCTGTGAGGTCTATTCTCTTAGCAACTTTCAAATATACAACACAGTATTATTAACTACAGTCACCATACAGTGAGTTTTGATTTTTGAAGAAGTCAACTTGGAACATCTGTCTTGAAGTGCTCCCACTGCAGGATGCATTAACTCACAGGTGTAATTAAATATTAAATCAGTTTGTGAGTGGTCTGTTGTCTATGTGCCTTATACAGCAATATGATTTTAATATCTAGGAAAGAGAGTCAATATTTACCAAGGCCCAGAACATTATGTAATGCCTGGATAGTAATCCAAGAAAGCCACAAAAACACTGGCTTATCAACCATTCCCAGCCTCTGGCAGTGAGGTGAGATGGCCAACAGGCTATGGACTCAGTTTTGAGAGTGCCACTTGCACAGGCCCCTGACACTGCTCCTCATGACAGAGATATGAAGGCCGAGAGGAAACATGCTTATTTAAGGTAAAGTACAAATTAATTCCAGTTCTGAACAGACAGTACAATGTGCAGCGAAGTGCCACAGCTCTTTCCCTGTCTGTCCCTGGGAGTTCTCCAGCTGGGACTAAAGCCACACTCAGGGATGACATGACTGTTTGGGAGCCATCCTCCACTTTGAGTTGTAACCTCATACCAATTTTATTTTCTTGACTTGCTGAACAAACCAATAAGGAAGTAAAAAGCCACAAAGTCATTTCAAACTGAAGGGGAGCACTCCGGCACCTGCTGGGGCCTCACCCGCCTGCACGAGTGGGTGAGTCATTAAATATTAATTATGATAATAGCAATTGCACCCCATTGCAGAGAATGACGTTGTGAGTGCTGTTAGCACTTTGCTTACTTTAATATGTAACTTGATGTCCTCATCTGTAAATTGAAGATAATATTGCACCTATTTCATTATGCTCTTATGAGGATGAGAGGAGGAGAGATAGAGACAGCACTGGGCAAGTTGAGACAGCAGGGTTTAATGGAACAGGGTTTGAAACAACAGACACAGGTTAAGATCCCAACTCTGATTTCTACTGTTTGATCTTGCTGAGCTTCAGTTTCCCAATCTCCAAAGTGGGCATGGAGTCACCTACCTCACTGAGGAACTGCAGGAAATGGGAAGTCAGACACCACCCAGTGTCTGCATCCCTGGGAGCTGTCTAGTAAATGCTTATACCATGTGCACCGATTCTGTTCACCTCTATCAGCCTGTCATCCATAGTGTCCATTTCCTCTCCTATCAATGATCATTTTACCCAGTTTTGTGTGCCAGACACTGGTTCAACAGCTTCACACTAACTTAATCCTCAGTACAATCCAATGAGGGAGGTGCTCCTGTCACCCCCATTTCATAGATCATGACACTGAGGCACAGAGTTTAGGTACCTGCCCAAATTCAAACAGATGGTAACGGGAACACCAGCCCAGCTCCCCAGTCTGCCCTCCTGACAACAATGCAGCAGTGCTTTGGAGGGGCAGGGAGGGAGAGCTGACCTGCTTGAGTTCCCAAGCCTGGATATAATCTCTTTTAGGGATAAGCCATGGATACGCTCATGAACCATAAGGTGTTGACTAGACTAACTTTTCAATCTTTGAAAAATATTTTGTATATTTTCTAAGAATTCTTTTAAAAAACTACATGTTTTTAAATGAGGTTCATATAACTAGTTCATCTTGTTCTATATGCTGGAATACCATAAATAAATGTTCCCCCCCAAAAAAAGATTACCTAAATTAAGTCCTACATTAAAATGTACCCATGAATTTTGATGTAAACAATTATTACAAGTCCAAATCAAATATATATATCTGTATATATATGCAGCTTTAATGCTGTTTGGCTAAACTAATGACTTCTATATTAAATAATCTGAATAATCTCCTTATTTCTAATGTTCACTGTCTTAGCCACCACCATACTAAATGGTATTTCAAAACATCCTTTTACAAATTTAATCAACTTAAATATTAAACATCAATGATGATAATCTACTGGTCTGCTTAAAAGGAATCCCTAGGGCAGAGATGAGAAAGAAAGGTTAAAAAATTCTATTCTTCAAACTAGACAGGGCAGCTACCTATAAATCATGTTCTTTGTTTATTAAGATAATTAAGCCTATCAGTGCACTTAACTTTCAGACTCAACAATTGTCTGGCATGACCAATTTCCACTTTTTCTAAAACAAAGGGGATGTGTTCAAAGGGATCTTCTGCAAGCTCTCTGCACAATGCATGCTATTTTAAAACATGACTGTGTGTCTAATTCCTGGAACTGTCTTGAAAATATACTGGTTTTTTCTTCGCATGCTCTCTATTAGGAGAAGACACTCCAATATGAAGAGTGCACTCGGCTTCAGACTGCAGGCCGCTATATTATGTCAGCATTTTCATTAACTAACTACTGTTCAAGTTGGACCTTAAACAAATGGAATGGAGAGTCACAGCGGCAGCCGCTGCAGAGACAGTTATCCAGACCTTACATAAGAATCGCACATCAGCGTGAAAACTCAAGTGTCATCCGTATTCTATTTCTTTGAGACTTGCCCACATTCTTAAAGTGTGTGAAACCACATATATAGATTGGATTTCTCATGTTATTTGCCTTATAGCACAAAACGCTGGACTGACATATAAGTTGTTGTTTTATTTGTTGTTGTTTGTTTTTTTCCTAAAGGACTGGGTAACCTCAATCATGGGGACGTTGGCAACTTCTGCCTAAGGGAAGAGTGAAGTGAGATGCGCGGGAAGCCTGGAGGCTTGGCTTCCATCCTCAAAGATCTATGGTCCCCAGGAATATTACAGGAGGCGCTCCCCCAAGGACCTAAGACAGAGGTGACCAGACCTTGCGACCCCCGCCCACTTCCACCGCACGCACAGTCGAGACGCACGGAATCTGCCATTGGCAGCGGGCGCAATGCCCTAAGAGCACCTGTCCTCGCACTGCACGTTTCCAGCTGGCACGCCCGCTGAGGCTGGAGCCAGCCAGCTGGACCGCGGCCTCTCCCGCGTGCGTGTCCGCTTCTGGCACCCTGACCTCCCCAAGCTGGCGCCCAGCTAACAAGAGGTGCCACCCCAGCTTCCCAGAACACGAAGATAATAAAAACCAACCTCTCCTCCACACAGCTCCCTGCAACTTCAGAAACTGCAGTCAACTCGCTGGGACGCAACAGACAAGGCGCCTTCTTGGGGACCGCGCTCGGCTGCGCGCGGCCGGTGGCCCGGCTCTGCACCAGCCGCCTCAGCTCCGCGGTGCCTCGGGGGCTGCGGCGGCGGCGGCGGCGGCGGCGGCGGCGGCTTCACCGGGCCCGGAGGGCGCGCTCCGAGTCCCTGGTGCGTGTCTCCCGCTCCGAGCGAATCGCGGTTCCGCGGGGGACGCGGCCAGACAGAAGCACAGGCGCCGCTGCCGCAGAGCCACCAGCCCGCTCCCAAGCTTGGTCACATCTTGAGCTTGCCGGCCGGCCGCGGAGGACGAGAGGAGGGAGGGAGAGAGGAGGGAGGGAGAGAGGAGGGAAGAAAGCGCAGTCTGCACCGGCCCCGGCGCAGCCGAGAATGACAGCGTCGAGGTGGAGCGGCTGGGAGGCACGGGTGCGAGTGCGCATGAGCCGGGCCCGCGGCGGCGCGTCACCAGGGGGGCGGGTGGGGGCGGAGTGAGCCGGGAGGGGCGGGGCGATTTGGGGAGGGGGAGGGGCAGTGGTTGGGGTAGGCTGGGGTTGGGGGGGCGCTGGAGCACACCAAGCTTGGCGTCCCGCCTGCTTGCCAATGGTACCGAAAGTTTCTCGCCTCGGATATGGTGAGCTTAAAACTGTGGTTGAACTCGTTCGTGTCCCAAGCCTATTGTCCCTTAAAAAGCACTGTTTAATTGGTCCTTAGGGATTGGGCAAACCCACAAAAGCCAATATAACTGAAGTTATAGCTTAATCTTAAGAAGCTGAAATTTAGGAACGCGTGAAAAAGATGATAGGATTATGAAGTACAAATTGGTAGTTACGAAATAGACACAGGTCTGTAAACTGCAGCAAAGGGAATATAGTCAGTAATATCGTAATAACTATATATGCTGTCAGGTACTAAATTTATCGAGGTTATAACTTAGTAAGTTATATAATGTCTAATCACTGGGTTGTACATCTGAAACTAATATAATACTGTATGTCAACCATAACTGAAAATTAAAAATTATTTAAAGTCCACAAAAACTGGAACTTAGAGGACAATGGTGGTCTATCTTGGCTGTACATTATAATAACTTGGGAAGCTTGTAAGAGCCCTTTGCCCTGGCCACACCCCTAGAATCTGTGAGGGGGGCCCGATATCAGAGGAATGTAAAGCTTCCCAGGTGATACAACAGAGTAACTGAAACCTTTAATATGTGACAGAATCTCCTGAGGACTTGCTTAAATTGCAGGTTCTGGTTCAGCAGGCCTGGGTGTAAGGGGAAAGTCTTCAGCTGTAACACGCTCTCAGATGATGTCAGCACTGCAGCTCAGGACCACCCCATCCTTGCTTCTGAAGTGTGGTCTGGAATCTGGAGCAGAACTTCTGAAACACTGGTCTGTGGAAGATCACCTGAGTAGCTTTTTAAAAATGCAGAGCACATGCCCAGGCCTTACCCACAGTGGTTGTGGTTCAGACTCTGGGCAAAGGTGGGGCTCTGGAATTCCATTCTAGGTGAGTCTGATATGGGTGTTTTTTGGACCAAACTTCAGGATATGAGATCAGCTACCTGGCCTTGGGAATAGACTTTTGCGGTGAATAGAGTCAAGCCAGGTGTAGAACTAAGAACATTTGACCACGTCCAAGTCCAATGAGTGCTTTATCTGGCTAGTCAAAATTTTCTACAATTATTATATATTACTTAGTAGAAATATACATAAATTTTGTTAAACATACATCTATTCATTACACATATCATTAAAGGGAGCTTAAAGTTGGCTAGGGAAGAAGGCTGACTAGGAGAGGGATGGAGTAGTGCTGTCGATGGCCTGTTGGACAGTGTGCAATGCAGAGAGAAGGGTATGTAAGAAGAAACAAAGCTTGGACTCCACCTGGAGCCTAGAAAGATGTCTTGGAGAAGAAGATCCAGAGACCAGGCTGGGCCTTTTCCTCTTAGCACAGGGTAAAACTCTGGTGTCCAAGAGCTTATGAATATATGGCATGTCACATACATTACCTCAGTGAAATCTCACGATAGTCTTATAAATTGGATAAAAAAAGATATCATGCCCATTTTACAGATCTAAAAAAGAATGCTCTGGACATTAGTTGACTTGCCCAGACAGTGGAACTTGTACAGGAGTGCAGATCTGGATGTTGGGCATGGCTTCTATAAGTAAGGGAAACAGTGACTTAGATCTTAAAAAGAGAATGATTTCTGTGCCTATTTTATTCACATCCTTAAAGGATGTGCCTATATTTTGAGTGAGAAAGGCTTTCATTTTTATAGGGAGGAAATGCATTTTGTGTCCACCCCAGTTTTGCAGGTCCATGAATTGAGGTGCAAAATGTGATTCTAAGAGCATCCCAGTCCTAGGACGTCCTAGTGCAGGCTTCGCCAAGAGGTTCAGAGAGCAGCACTCACATTTTTCTGGTGTCAAGTGTAATTAATCAGCATCCTCATTTGATCCCAGCCCAGAGAAGCCAAGTGATTTGGACAAAAATGCAGACAAAAATCTCTGGCCTCCATCCTTTTCCTCTGCTCCCCCTTCCCCAAATGACTTTCTAAAGACTGTTTCACTTTCCCAAACTTCTCATACCAAGGTTTGCCATTAGTAAATTAGAACCAAATGTACTTCAAAGCTTCCCCTTGATGCAGAAGAGGAATGTGAGAAACAATTCTTGTGCGTGCGGTAAATGCCATGGACTCTATCCCAATTTGAGTAAAGTTTTGGAAGAAAGTGTGTGATGTTTCTATGCAATCTCCCAATCGAGAGGTTTGTCTGGGAATGTTGTACTATGAACTATGCCCTGCCTACATTTACTGTTATGTCCAGTGTAACTCTTCCATTAGAGCTGTTCTTCCCTGTGATTATGAAATAAAAAAAATAAATGAATGAATGCCTAATTGAAAGAATCTGTGTAGATGAGGGAACAGGTTGTGGAATTTCATTAGTTTTTAATAAGAAAAAAAATAAAAGCAGTGGTAATGTAATAGACCTGCTGGGGCTTTTGGGAGAATAATTGAGCCTGTTTGCTTAGGTATTAGAAACTCCAATGAGAATATTTGTCTGTACAGTATATTAATTCGTTTGCATATTGACTTTAAGAGATCCAGGATTGAACTATATAAAAAGTGAATTAGTATGTCCCACTGCCATTGTATTTTGAGTCACTATTATTTGTGTTAAACACATGAAATGTATACTATTAAATTCATTTTGACTTTGTCAATATTGATTGTGTTTGATTTAGAATTTGTTTCTCATTAGTCACTATATTGTCTGGCAGGAACAGTAGCTACATTTTTTTTCCCCTCTGAGGTCTATGTTGCTTGTGGGTCAGCAAAGCCTGCTCTTAGGCTGAGAATTTCTTCATTCAGTGCCTCTGAAAGTCCCAGGGTAAGAATTTTAGTTATACAAATGCTAATCACTCCATTGAATCTATCCTCTGTTCATTCAGGAAGCTGTACCTAGAAGAGATTTTTATTAAACTCTGCTGAATGTCACAGGCTTATCACTGAATGGAGAATTTTCAGCCTCCAAATTCTCCGTATTTGTTAATTACATTTATTCATCCATTTCACCCAAAAAGATTCTTTGTCATGAAAATCTCCCAACCTCTGCCTACTTTATAGTTACAACCCACATAAGAGAACTGTGGGGAGTCCAAGGTGATTGGCAAGGCCAAGACAGAAGTGGGAACACAGAATTATACCAGGGAAAAAATAAGGTTTCCCTAAAAATTAATACAAGTTGTGCTTGGTTTTGGACTTGGTGTATTACAAAGTGTGCCTTGTTTGGACGCAGGCAGCTGCCAGTAACTTCACATAACCAAATCCAAGGTGGGACGTGGGGTGGGGTTAGGAGGACAGGGAGGTTGACTTTCTGTCTTTTTCTTCTGGGAGACTTTTGAACACTATTGGAAAGCCCAGTTCCTAGTACCCTAATATAGGATACTTACAAAGTACCTGAATTTCAAATGTTAACTTCTAAATTGTTTTAAATAATTTGTTTAGAACTTAGAGCAAGTCAATATAATAAATGATGTGGATTTTCAGGCTAGATCCAAAATATTTTTAAAAACCCACAAGTTAATATAGTGTTCACTGTAACTCCAAGCCTGCAAAGAAATAGGTGCTGAGGAGGATTGCAGCCTAATGGCAAGAGTAGGTTTGGGGTCGAAAAGATAGAATTTAGGGTCTGAAGAGGAAGACTGGCTGAGAAGCAGAGGCTGCGGAAGACTGGGTATTAGTAATCTCTGAGAGAAGATTGGGAGAAACATGGGCCAATGACAAAGATGAGAAATAGCAGTTAAAACTATGCCTGTCTTCTTAGCACTTGCCTGTGCTTAGAGCAGACTTAAAGCATTAAGTGCCCTATGTCTGACTTAATCTATAGGAAAGAATCATCAGAAATTAATAGACAATAAATCCCTTATAAATAGAAAAATGCTTTTAAAAACTCCTACAGAAGTGTACATTCACTATTAATCTCTGTGGATTATCTACCCCTCTCTTCCAACCAAGTTACCCACTAACGGAAGAAGGTACTGGCCGCGTGCACACAGTGGGAACCACTCAGAATTGTCTGGCTCAGCTCCCAGCATCTCCGTCTGTCCAGGAATCACATGGCTGATGTTTTGATTACCTAACATAGACTGACAGTAGCTTCAAGCACATAGTAGATTCCAAATAAATGCTAGCTTTTCAGGTAGCTTTTTTTTCTCTCCTAGAGTTAAAATCTGCAGCTAGATGTCACCTGATGTTCATTTGATCATTGTCATATACGCAACAACTCCGTGTAGTTTTTAAGAGAGTGGTTTCCTTTCCAGAGAGAAGACTTAAGAATGACTTTAGAGCTCCTCCGGGAATGGGGGATCGTGTAGAAAAGGCTTTTAAAGGAGATCAAGACAAAGCCTGCTAATGTTACTCTGTGGCTTCACACTGTACTGCGGAGGAAAGGCAAGACTTACGATATGACACTTCCAGATCTTTCTCCTGGGAAGAGAAAGAAATTATGGTGGGAAGACAGACAGACAGTACTTACAAAAGTAAAAACAAAGAGTGTTTAAGGAAATCTCTTTATGTCGCAGACTGAAGAATGGATATGCCCATTCTCCTTTGTCATTGTGACCTTACACATCCCTTACATTTGTACCCTGACATCATCACTCACGATGTGGTTGTGCAATTGCTGTGCATATTCATACTGTGGACAGAGATTCCACAGGCTCACTTTTGAATTTTTCTACCTTTATCATTCCCATATAATACGATCCTTACAAACTAAAGTTTTAAGTAAACATCCGAAAACTGTGTGTATGATTAGCCATGAATAATTTACCAGCTAACAAATCAAAATTCAAGATCAAGAGAGGAAGATGTATAAGGTTAACAAGAGTTTCACCTATAAGAG